TGCCTTTGTGTTGGCAGTGCAACTTCTTACCACTAAGCCCTTTGAACACCCTATGAGCAAAAGAGTCTCTTCAAATTGCAAAGAAGTAAATGGTTTAAAAATTGCTTCTGGCTGAAAAAAAATCAGTTTTATCAAGTTTCATATAGCACAATTTGAGCAGACTAGCTCCTTAATAAATATTTGCAACCATTAATCTTGAGAGTTTTGATAGACAATCTACACTGTGAGGTACTTTGATGTACTGACAGAATAAATTTGAAAATCTATCATTCTTTGAATATACTTTACATCATTCCATTCCACTGCAGAGTGAACTGCCAATAAATCCTCCAAATTCTAAAAAAGAATATCAAACAGTTCTTGCAAGTTATCATTTCTGCTTAAAATTTCTTACAGCATAATTTGAAAAGAGTATTAAGAGCTTATTATCATGTAATATCAAGAGCTTCACCATTCTGAGCTTTGATATTGTATACTGTTGTTGTTATGTGCCGTCGAGTCTCTTGTGACTCATAGCAACCCTATGTACAAGAGCCCGAAACTCTGCTTTGTCTTCTGCCAATCGCACTATCTCTGACACTCCCAACCCGATTATCCCAGTCACTGAATCAATCCACCTCATAGAGGGCCTTCCCCTCGTGCGCTGTCCCTCCACCCTCCCCAGCATGATGTCCTTCTCCGAGGACTGGTCTCTTCTTAAATGTCCAAAGTATGTTAGACGGAGTCTCAGAATCCTTGCCTCCAAAGAGCCACCCGGTTTCACCCTGCAGAGGGTCAAGGACTATAGCCTCCAATATGGCTTGAGGTTCAATGTCAAGAACACAAAGATTCTCACCACTGGGCCAATTGGTAGCATCAGGATGGATGGTCACGAGACTGAGATTGTTCACAGCTTCAGTTTGCTTGGCTCCACAGGCAACACTCTTGGCACCAGTAGCCAGGAAATTAAAAGGCGCATTGCCATGGGAAATTCTGCTGTTAGGGACCTCTCCAAAGTACTAAAGAGCAATGGTGTCTCTCTGGAGACTAAGGTGTGTCTGATACTGGCCATGGTCTCCGCAATCACTTGTTATGCATCAGAGAGTTGGACAATGACCAAGGAGGACAGAAGGAGAGTTGATATTGTATCTAGTAAACTAAATAATAAAATCAAATTAGACAGCTGGTAATCAGCCCATAGCAATAACTGGATGGCATATAAAGCAACATATTGATGTAATGTTTTAGGGAGTTGTCGAAGGATAATTCTGCAATGACTGAATTAAGAGGAAGTAGAGCCAAGAGAGTAAAAGAGGTTAAGAAATTTGGCTTTTTCCTACTTGGAGAAGAAACCAGATAGACTTAATAGCAGTTTTCACGTACATTTATAGCTATTGAATTGATCGTGATGACCAGCTGTGAGTATTCTGTCTCCACCAGTAGTGAAAAACAGGAAAGAAACTTGAATTGTATCATGGAAAGATTCAATTTACTCACTGTCAACCAAAATCACAGGCAACCCATGATGTGCTTTAAAGAAGTTTTATCACTGAATGTTTTTCTCAATACAGTAATATGCTATTGCCATGTTGAATTATTCCCTGAGAGATTCAGTTTATTTACTTGCTTATTTTTGTTACAAGAGTAAGAGAAATTGTCTTTTACCCCCCTTTCCAATTTACTTTGAGCTCATGGTCCAATTTTCCATCAAGAAACAAAATTACATAAGTATTTTTAAATGTCCTTAGAAAATAAACCAAATGAGGAAATAAAACATGATATTTAACACCTATAATCCAGCTTTATTAAAAATGATGATGATGATGACGATGATGATGATGATGATGATGTGGAAAAAGAAAACAAACGCAAAATCCAGTGTCATTGCGTTGATTCTGATTCATGGTGACTTCCACTGAGTTTCCCAGTCTGTAAATCTTTACAGGATGAAACTGTCCATCTTTATTCTGCAGAGTGATTAACAGTTTTTAGTTAGCAACCTGACACCTTTTACACTATACTACCAGGGCTCCTTAATTATTTGGTAAAACTAAAAATCTTGTTGTTATCAAGTCAGAATTGATTGCTCATATAGCTGACCCTCCAGTGTGTTTACCGAAGGAGTAAATCCTGAGTATTCTCTGGTCAATTCAAAGAATCAGAGAAATGTAGCCTTTGCGTCAGCAGTGGCTAAACCTCAAGAATATCAATTATATAATCTCTGGCTGCCTCTCTTCTGGTGTTATTGTTGTTTTTGTTGATTGCCTTTGAGTTGAGCAAGACTCGTAGTGACCCCATGAACCAATGGCCTGAAGCCTTTCTATAACTATCGTAGTTTCTCCAGGTTCACAGAGTTTTCAGAGGCATGTGGTTTAGAAGTGGATGCTACTCCTGCTTCCAAACATGTCTTAAACTGGGAGCTCCATCAAACACTGCCCACCATGGGCAGCCATTATGGCATTTGATCCTCAATGACACAAGGTTCAGCTTCACAGAAAACCCAGATTACTTCAGTATATCAAATTGAAAGAAGAGTGCTGTACAAGTTAGAAGAATGTTCCTCTAAAATAGTAACACTAGGCCCTCAGGCCCAGTCGATATTTAAATACAGTGGCTGGCTCTCTTGTGCAAGTGCTCTTGCATCCATGTTCTAACTCTCCCTCTCCCTCTTCACATGGTCCTTGGAGAGGAACATCATGTTTGGGAGAGTGGAGAAAGGGCGCAGGAGAGGAAGACCCTCGATGAGATGGGTCGATTCTGTGAGTTTAGTGGTGGGAATAAGTGTGTTTGAGACAGCAAGCTTGGCACAGGATAGGGCGGTGTTTAGGACTCTTGTACACAGGGTCGCTATGGGTCACAAGTGACTCAATGGCACATAATTCTCTCTCTATTTATATATATATAAAATCATTTCTTCAACTTCATAGACTTTCCAGAGGCTTCTGGTATTAGCAGCTATTAATAATTTTTGCTGAATTATTGCTTGGATTTTGTTTTGTTTAATTCACTAGATGTTACAAAATAGTGACAAGTTTAAATAAATAATTCTATATTATATTTTACTTGAAGTATTTCCAAGGAAATTTTCTTTAACTCATTATTACTCTTAATACAAATAATACTGGGAACTCTGCTGTCCTAATAGTAAGAAGCTGTAGTGCTGTCCCAAAGATACGTGGTTCAAATCCACTGGCTACTCCACTGAAAAAAGATGGACAGTCTCCTCACTTAGAGGGGCTCAGCTATGGGTCAGTTCCTACTTGTGGATATGCAACAATAACAACAATTAATATTAGAAAGGCAGGGAAATTATTATTTTTTAACTTTTAATTTCCAATTTTCAGAATGAATTGATTCCATTATATTCCCCAGAGAAATAAACAATATTTAAAAAAAATCACTATAGATTTATAGGTTTAAAATATTTTAATTCCGTGTCATTTGTCATTCTTGTTCTTACTGATATTCAGAATATCCTATATTTAAATCTCTCTTCAAATTGGTGAGAAATCTTATTTTGTAACACTGATAGCTTTAGATAATTGCTTTGTTATATGTTATCAATTTGTCTTACATATTTTTTTGGCCAAAGCTTGAATCAATATGAAATATGATGATGTGTTTCAGGTTGAAATGGTTAGCAGCAAAATTTCTAAGACCTAAATGAATTTAAATAAAATTCAACACATTAGTCAAGGTTATAGGTGTGTTATTATGGTAGGAAATGTCTATATTTATAGGAAGACTCATATTTTAAGAAAAAAAGGAACTTTGAAATCAGAAGCATGATGTAATGATTTTTTAAATCCTTTAGAGCCTTGATTTTGTGTTGTGCTTTTTTTTCTTCTATTAAACTATTAATGGAAATAATGACTTGACTTTGCCTTGTTTGCAAAGAGCTGAAGATTTGTGGAAGATAAGTATATATACATTTGCATCTTTAGCTTTCAAGAATTATGTATCCTTTCTCTTTTCTCTCTTAATTCTAGATATGATGTAGTATATGAACAATTAAATTAAGAATATGTTTTCTTGGTCATGCAATAAATACAAAACTTAAATAATGGACTTAAAATTATTAGTAATAGTATAGTAGGGAGTTCTGGTAGCCTAATGGCAAGGAGCTGAGCTGCAATCCCAAAGACACTGGTTCGAGGCCACCAGCTGCTCACCAGGAGAAGGCTGGGAACTCTCTTCCTGTGTGATTAACTGCCTGTGAAAACCCACCAGAGTGTCAGCTGTGGGTCAATTCTGACCCTATAGTACACAAAAACAACATCTAGGAAAAGTGTATCAGAGATTGTCAGGATAGGACAGAGTTCACATCTGTTATTCAAATGGTCACTATGAGTCAGATGAATCAATGGCACCTAACAATAACATATGGTAAAAAAGCCGTATATTTGAAACGTAAGTGAAAAAGAAGTTTATTCTGGGAACTATCAACATCTGTTTAACACTTGAACATTTTAATCCCTAGGATATTATATCAAATAAAATATAACAGAAGACTAAAAAAGAGAACTAAAGAATAAGAAACAACAGAAGATAAAATGATGTCACAGAGATTTTCGGTTCTTCTATGCCTATAGATTCATCTGCTGAAAATGTCTCTAATATATTAATATAAAAAATAGAATATCATTTAAATAATATTTCTATTCTATAAGAGAAATACTTCTTATAGTAATCACCTTCTACTTCCTAATAAAGCATAGCATACTACTTAAAACTAAAATTTTAGTAATATCCAAAAAGACAATTATAAGAACTGAAGGAAGGGGACACTCTATCCTCCACTAACAATGTCTTGTGTTTTTTTTTTTGTTTTTTTTTTTTGTCAGAGCAGCAGTATTTAAGTAATTTATTTTTTATGCGAAACAAGAATAAGGAGATGCTGATGAAGAGAATAATTATGCTTTAGTTGCTCATTTCCCCTAACTTCCACAAAAATCTGTGATAACACAATTTGAAGTGGTTCAAGTATATTTATCAGTCATCACTCTCCTTTGCCTTTTTAGGCTTGTCGACCCTGCAGGCTGTGCTAGACTCTGCTGCTGAAAAGAAATGGCAGGTGACTGCTATTAACGTGGGAAACATTAACAATGACAAGAAAGATGAGACCTACCGATCGCTTTTTCAGGATCTGGAGTTAAAAAAAGAACGGCGTGTAATCCTCGATTGTGAACAGGATAAAGTAAACGACATTGTGGACCAGGTTTGCCGTGCTCTGTTGTCTAATAGCACCAAATATAGAATGTGTGTGCATCGTCAGCATTAGCAATGAGTATTTCTGTAGTAGTGCTTGAACAGCAGTTTTCACTGTAGGGTTTATGTAGGGTGCAGCAAAGATCATCAATTAAATTATCTCTTCAGTTAGCAATGGCAGATGGGCTTCAATAAAGCTGACAAATCACACTAATCACTATATAAATTCAATAAGGAATGACTGACTTTATGTCTTACATGATGAATATTACCCAAAACGTTGATGTCTTTAATTGGAACCTTAAAAAAAATATTCACCTTTTTTTTGGGGGATCACTAAGGGGGCAAGCATTAAGTTAGAAAGTCTGAGTAATTGGATAGATGAGCAATTCATTAGTTTTGGGGAAACACATGGTTAATTTCAAAAGTAACATCACTACGTGATGCACTGTTGTTGTTAAGACATTTGATTATCTAAATAATAAACCTACATTTCCAGAAAAATTGTGACTTTATTTTTAAAAAAAAATTTTTCTTATTTTTCTCTTACATAAAATTTTGTCACTATAACATAGACCTGAAATTTAGAATATACAGGAAAGATACAGCTAGGGTTTATTCACATCTATTTCAGGCCTGTCTGAATGAAAGAAGAACATGGTATCATAGATAAAAATATTTTCACCTGTGCTAACCATGTCACTCTGCTATATTGAAATATTTTAGAATGTCATAACCATGCAGTAGTAATATGACAAAAATAAAACATATTGTGTCAAAGGATGGTTTTGAAATGTACTGAATAAACTCTTGTCTACTGAATTTCTGTTTCTTTTTAAAAGTTTCCAACTAGAATCAGATTTATTTATTCGATATAATTTATCTATAGTATGCAGGAGAAGGATGGGCAATCTCCTTTTGTCTGATTTACTGCCTCTGAAAACCCACTGTAGGGTCAGCGACAAATTGGTTCCAACTCGAATTCCTCTCTCAACCCAAAGGCCCATAGCCTGAATCCACCAACTGCTCCACAGGAAAAAGATGAACAGTCTCCTGCCATGTGACTTATACCTCTGAAAACTCACTGATATCAGCTAGAAATCAGTCCCACTAGATGGTACAAATAACCTTATTAATTTCTAGGAATAATGCAAATATGAGATTATTAAGAAAATACATAATTGTGTATATATTCCTTGTTTCATTTAATGTCAGAAAAAAATGAAATTCATTAATTTATACAAGACAAAACATTTTGCAAACATAAATATAAATGAAAGCTTAATTGACATATAATGATACAGCCTTAAGATATAAAAGATAGATCACTCAATAAATAAATAAAAAACTGAAATAAATATAATAAATAAATGTTGTGTGAGAGAAGGGTGAACATTTTGATAGAACAATCTTTATTCCACTCTCAAGAGATGAAGTCAGGATTGTTTATAACCTGGAGGCCTCTTGTTCAAATGTGAACCTCAAAGCTCATTTGAATTTCATAGGAGAGTCTCATTAAGACTGAATATAAAAAATATTCATTAGACTTTGGAGGAAATACATTTAGGTATTCATAGCACGTCACAATAAATGTTGGGGAAAATCCTTATGAAAATAACTGTATTTCCAAATCAAGGGGACAAAAACTGTAAAAGGTACTCTGAATATATAGAAATAAATTTTTAATCAAATGCACGATTTATTAAAAAAGTATTTGGAGGCACCTCAATTTAAAATATGAAGATTATTTTGCACAGATATTTTAATAAGATATAGAGTTTATTAGTGTATTATACAATGGATGATTGTATCATTTAACAAATTCTGAGAATGTCCTCTTTATCTGACATAAGAAATGCAAGGAAAGTTTGGTGTTTACACCTGCTGAACTTAGTGGTTCGAGAAGGCAAAAGAAATATGTGTATAATAGTTGTTGTTGTTATGTGCCATCGAGTCGCTTGCGATTCATAGCGACCCTATGTACAAGAGCCCTAAACACTCTTCTATCCTGTACCAACCTAGCCATCTCAAACCTACTTATTCGAAAGACTCCAGCCACAGAATCGATCCATACCATTGAAGGTATTCCTCTCCTTCACCTCCCCTCCACTCTACCAAACATGATGTCCCTCTCCAAGGACCAGTCCCTCCTTGCAACATGCCCAAAATATGTCAGACGAAGCTTCAGAATCCTTGACTCAAGGAGCCTTCCGGATTCCCCTCTCCAGGACAAACCTGTTTGTTCTCCTAGCAGTCCATGGTATATTCAACACTCTTCTCCAGCACCACAGCTCAAAGGCATCAATTATCTTTATATCAAACCTATTCACTGTCCAACTCTCTGATGCATAACATGTAATTGCGAAGACTATGGCCTGGATCAGGTGTACCTTAGTCTCCAGTCTGACGTCGTTGCTCTTCAGTACTCTTGAGAGGTCCCTCACAGCCGACTTTCCCAATGCAATTTGTCTCTTGATTTCCTGGCTGCTGTTACCAAGAGTGTTGATTGTGGAGCCAAGTAAACTAAAACTGTTAACTATCTCAATCTCTTCACCATCCATACTGATGCTGCCAACTGGCCCAGTGGTGAGAATCTTTGTTTCCTTGATGTTGAGCTTCAGTCCATATAGGAGGCTGTAGTCCTTGATCTTCTGCAGCAAGCGCTTCAGGTCCTCCTCAGTTTCAGCAAGCAGGATTGTATCATCTGTGTAACACAGGTTATTGATGATTCTTCCACCAATCGTGATGCCACCCACATTCCTCTTTGTATAGCCGAGTGTCTTGGATCATCTGTACTGCATACAGATTGAAAAGTTATGGAGACAGAATACATCCCTGATGAACGAACCCCCTTCTTGATTTTGAACCATGTAGTTTCTCCTTGCTCTGTTCTGACAAATGTCTCTTGGTCCAAGAATAGGTTTCGCATTAGCACAATCAAATGTTCTGTGATTCCCATTCTTCTCAGAGTCAGCCACAGCTTGTTGTGATCCACACAGTCAAAAGCCTTTGCATAGTAAATGAAGCACAGATAGACATTCTTCTGGTATTCTTTGCTTTCTGCCAAGATCCATCTGGAATTAGCTATAATATCCCTAGTACCACGACCTCTTCTAAATCCAGCCTGCACATCTGGCAGTTCTCTGTTGAGATATTGTTCCAAACGTTTTTGGATAATTTTCAACAGAATCTTGCTTGCGTGTGATATTACTGATATTGTTCAAGAATTTCCACACTCTTTTGGATCACCTTTCTTTGGAATGGAAACAAATATCGATCTTTTCCAGTTAGTGGGCCAGCTGGCTGTTCTCCAGATTTCTTGGCACAACTTAGTGAGCACATCCAGGACAGTGTCTGTCTGTTGAAATGTGTCAATTGCTATGCCATCAACTCCTGGAGCCTTGTTTCTTGCCAATTCCTTCAGAGCAATTTGAACTTCCTCCTTCATCACCATAAGCTCTTGCTCATATGTCATTTCATGAAATTCTTCTGTGTCAGCCAATTCCTTCTGGTACAGTGACTCTGTGTATTCCTCCCATCTTGTCTTGATAGTACAATATAAAAAAAAAAATAGGACACTATCACCAGTTATAATGCAATAGGATTTACAGGAGTATAAAGGAAGGATGATCTCTGAAAGCTTCACAGTAGAGGTAACATGTAATCTGGCTTAGATTCATTCACTTGTTTGTTCAAGAAATTTTGTCTTAATGTCTAATATTTGTCAGAAAAGCACTGTACTGTTTGTTGCTGCTGTTATAACTAGGTGCCACTGAGTTGGCTTCAAATCGTAGTGACTCCTCATACAGCAACATGAAACCATGCCCTGTGGTGTGCCAACCTTAACTTAAACATCCTTTCTGCTGTGATTAAGCTTATTGCTGCAGTTGCTGTGTTTAGTCTTCTCATTGACAGTTTTATATCTTTTATTGACCTTCCACCTCTAAGTATAATGGTCTTCTACTGGAACTGGCACCTATTGATACATGCCTAATAAATGTGAGAAAAAAGTCTCATTATCCTTGCTTTAAAAGAGCAGCACCATGGCTGGGTTTTATCCAAGACAGATATGCTTGGGGTTTTTTTTTTTTTTTTTTGAAGTGCATAATACAATCATTATTCTTAGCTAACATCACCATCCAAAGGCATTATTTTTTCACTCTTTGTTAATCATTATCCAATTTCCACATGCATAGGCTATTGTTGTTAGGTGCTCTCGAGTCTACTATGACTCATAAATTTACTTTATGTGCTATCCTGTGCTACCCTCTTCAACTCTGACAAACTTGAGCTCATTACTGCAGTCAAGGTGTCAGTCCATCTGATTTAGGATCTTCCTTGCCTTTGGTGACTCTCCAATTTTCCAAGCATGATGTCCCTTTCCAAGGAACAGCCCCTCATAACAATATGCCTAAAGTATACGGGATGAAGTTTTGCCATTTTTGCCTTTAAGGAGCACTCTGACTGTGCCTTCTTAAAGATATTTCTGTTTGTTCACACCACTCAAAGACATATGAAGTAAATGAAAATATCATATAACTTTAGTCTCTTGTAGTCTTTAAATTCCATCCTTGCTTATTAGTGCTTTAAAGAGATAAATTTTAGTGGGTTTGCCCAAATGCAATATATCTTTTTTTTGTCTGCTGTCTGATTGTTCATCCAAGTGAAATGAAATCTTTGACAACTTCAATTATTTTTCTTCATGGACCAGTTGCGAGAACTTTTGTTTTCTCTGTTGGCATACAATTTTTATATTTTTTTGAATTTTCTTCTGTAAATGCTACAAGTCTTCTTCACTTTCTTCAAGCAAGGTTGTGTCATCTGCAAAATGTAGGTTGTTTATGAGTTCAGGAGGCCACATTCTTCTCCATATAGTTCAGTTTCTCTTTTAATTTGTTCCACATACAAATTGATTTGATATAAAGAAAGGACAACCCTGACATACACCTTTTCACACTTTAAATCATGCAATATCCCCTTGTTTTGTTCAAAAGTCTTCTTTTCATTTACATGCAAGTTCTACATGAGCATAATTGTTTTGAAATTTTCAATCTTCATAACGTTGTCCCTAATTTATGATTCACACAATCAAATGCATGTGCATAGTCAGTAAAATACAACTAATCATCATTTTTTATTCCATATAGTAGATTCTAGAAAAACCAATGTCAAGCAATACAAATATACATTTAAGTGAGTATTACTAATGTTAAAATATTACAATAAAATATATAATGAATTGAAAAATCAGGATACTATGATCATGAAATAATTATAGAGAAAAAAGCTTTAGATAGGGAAAGCATGGGAAGACTTCAAGTATCATGGCTACATCACTACTATTTCAGTTATTTTAACGCTCTTTATAATTGGCAAAGCCAAACCAAACACAGTCACATTGCTGTTGAGTTGGTGCCAATTCATAAGGACCCCTTTTCAGCTTCCTGAGACTAGATATTTCTGGGAGGAGACTGTCCCTCCTTCTTCTGAAGAGTGGTTGATAAATTACAACTGCAGATTGGGGTAGCAGGGCACCATGTTATTCACTATGCCACCAGGACTCTTTAGAAATGATATGCTATTAGGTGTCATCCTGTTGGAACAGACCTATAGCTGACCCTCCAGCAGGTTTTCAGAGGCAATAAATTGTGAGGGAGGGGATTAGCCATCTTTTTGCATAGACCAGCTGGTAGATTCCAACTACATGCCTTTAAGTTGGCAGCCTCACCACTTTTGTACCAGAAAAGTCAAATTGATTCAGTCTAAAATTGGTCTAAATATTGACAAGACAAGAATTTGTTTCTTGGTATATCCATTTTGTCTTTAATTTTTGACTGGGATTTGTGGAGAAAAGATAGCTTTTCTGATCTGTTCTTCCTTGCATTGGAAATAATGACATTCACTTGAATAAAATTGTGAGAGTTTCAAGATCCTTAAAATAAGAATTCTTTTATATATCTGCATAAGACTTTTTTTATTCGCTCATGAATATTCTTTTCACATTTATTACAAACTCTGTGTGTTTTAATATAGAAGTGTAAATATAATACCTCATACTAGGTTTAGTAGTTTATGAAAATAACATTATTTTATATAGATAAAATCATGACATATTAAGAATCAAATATTTCTGATTTATCTTTCTTAATGTTTTGAAGCATTAATAGCCTTATGTTTACTATTGACAAAATGAGGTAATGTTTTGCTTAATTGTTAACTTCCTAACAGATAACTTCTGAAAACAACAAAAATCGTTGTTACTTTCCCCTTCCCCCTAAAGCATCCAGTCTTTAGTTTTGGAAATTATATTTTAAAAACATGACTCATTGTGGAGCATCAAAAAATAAAAAAAGATAGTTGTTGCTGTTGTTATGTGCCATAGAGTCGCTTGTGACTCATAGCTACCCTATATACAAGAGCCCTAAATGCCATTCTATGCTGTGCCAACCTTGCCGTCAAACACACTCATTCCCACCATTCCAATCACAGAATCGATCCATCTCATCAAGGGTCTTCCTCTCCTGGGACGTTGTATTCCATTTTATTGTAAATTAGGTTAAATAATAATTATTTCAACTTAATCTTTTTTTATATATTAAATAATATTTTCCTTATACTTGTTAGGTTATTACCATTGGAAAACATGTTAAAGGGTACCATTACATCATTGCAAATCTGGTAAGTGAATGAATTATTATTTCTTTTGTAGAGATGCCTACTGACTTAAAAAAACACTATGTTTTGACTGGTGTTTGTCAATAGTGTACTTTGCAACATCATTTTATTATATTTGGTAGGTTTTATTTTAGATTTATTTCCTACATTATATTTTCTAGTATTTTAATTTTTAAAACTGACATAAGGAATTATATAAAAATACTTAACTATATTTTTAGTTTGCCTTATAAATTTTCAAACAAATTTCAAAAAATATTAAATTTTTTGTCCACTTACTTTTTATTTCTCACTGTAACAATATTTTATCTGTTGTATATTCTTTTACAAATAAATTATGGGAATCTATATTAGTGCAACTAATAAAGATTTTTAAATCTATATTAAATATATAAAAATATCAGTATACATTATAAGAATCTATATTAGTGAGGCTTCCTTGTGCACCACTTTCAAGCTTCCCTTCCGCCCAGGAGCACGCTTGTCAGATTTCCCAAGGGCTTCTTCCCACCGGAAATCCCGGGTACCTTTGAAAACCGCCTCTCCGTTGCTTATCTGAGGTGGCTTCCTTGTGCACCGCTTTCGAGCTTCCTTTCCGGTAGGAAGAAGCCCTTGGGAACTCTGACAAGTGTGCTCCTGGGCGGAAGGGAAGCTTGAAAACGGTGCACAAGGAAGCCACCTCAGATAAGCAACAGCGAGGTACCCGGGATTTCAGGAAGGCCCTCGGGCAGAAAGGGAAACATAATCTACACAGGAGTTCTACAGAACACGTCAGCTTCCCTTGGAGGCAGCACAACTAAACTT